TGAATGAGCCCAAACTTCTAATCAGAGGTCTCAGCACCCAAATCTTATGAAGGAACATTGGCAGAGTAGTACCTTCAGAGCTGAGGTTTTCTGCTCGGTGTCATGGGTACCACCCCTCCATAGGACGAGAGCTGTGTTGAGAACCTCCTTGCTGATTCTCAACACTGCTCTCGTACACAACTCCCAGCTGGGCCTGCCTCGTTGTACAGCAGGAGGTGCTCCTAGGCAGCGGGCTACTGTTGCTTTAGACAGTTTCTTCTCCTTGCTGATTACCTGAAGTGGCTTCAGTGTGCTTGAATCATCAGCAGCAGCTGCAGGCCCTTTTCCATTTAATAATGCATTGAACTTATATAGCTCTTTTCTAGACACCCAAAGACGCGTCCACGCACTCTCACACTCTCACACTGCTAGTGATGGTAAGCTACTTGTAGCCACAGCTGGCCTGGGGAGGTCTGACAGAGGCGAGGCTGCCATTTGGTGCCGTCGGCCCCTCTGACCACCACTAACACAGGCAAGTTGGGTGAAGTGTCTTGCCCAAGGACACAACAGCAGGATACCCCTGGCGGGAGCTGGAATCGCACCCGTGACCCTCCGATCATGAGGCAACCCGCTCTACCACCTGAGCTACTGCTGCCCCAAGACCCCCAAAGACGCTTTCACACACTCTCACAATTTAGGCCTGATGCCAGATCTTAGTTCTCTGTTTCATATTAGCCTCACAGTCTAAAGTTCAAGTTCTTAGAACAGTGTCTTGTTCTGAGCATCTCCCCTCCTGATCCTGTCGACAGCTGCAGCACCAAGTGTCATCCTTGGCTTTGCAATCAAGCAACCAGTCTGATCCCAGCCGCTGTCCTGCATCTGCCCCCACTTCCAACTGCACAACATTCAACTGTTAAAAAAAGGTCTTTCTGAGTTTGCTCCTGAGTCCACTCCTAACTCCCGAAGCTCGGCTCCTTCTTATCTGTCGCAGCTCAAGAGCAACACATTCATTATATCAGGGCGTGACTCTAATACAACAAGGAAGCACCCAAAAGACCACAACATGCAAGACTGGGGAGGACTTTATGCTTGCATGAACCTTTGAAGTGTGTGTTGCTGTTCTCCCTTCAGTGGGTGCAAATGGTCTGAATCTTGCTGCAAGCCGAGCTGAGGAAAAATAAAGCTGCAGGTAATAAGACCCAGGCAGAAGTGGGATGAAAGATGATGATCTAAGAGTTAAGCAACACAGAGCCAAAGCACATTGCTTCAGTTTTACCTCATGCAGAATCACAGATACGTTTCATGGTTCAGTGCAACACAAAGCATGCAGTGTGGCACATCTCTCCACACGCGCTGAAACCTGGATTGTGTTGCAGATGATCTCCTGAACTGTATAAAAATCACAAATGCTGATTTAACACCTGACTTTTGTTCACACCCTGCAGGCAGAGCTGCAAAGAGCACCGTTCACACCTCAGCAGGAATGCAGGTTCTGCTGCAGAACATTGACAAAACTTCAGACACCACTGAGATGGTTGTCATCGACAGCTGGGAAATGCGTCTCAGCGAGGTTTCTAGCCGTTCAGGCCTGGTTGGGAGCAGAAAAACTCCTCAGATTGCCATCAACCAGAAAAAAATGAATGAACAGATGAAGTATCTGCAGTCAGGTCTGACAGTAAATGTTGTTTTAGAAAAACTGAAGCTGGTGAGGTCACGGTTGTCTCTAAATCAGCTGGATCTTCATTAAACAGATTAAAAGTCTCCCTGTAGCCAGTTTCTATCCAAACGCTGCCAAATCAGCTTGAAATACGTTTGAGCTGCTCTCATAAAGAAATGTCAAGTTGGACAGGTTCTTTTGATCTCATTCAGCCAACAGCTAAACACCTCCCAAAGTTTCCCTCCACTTCTCTGGCAGAGTCTTTCACGATTTAAGCTCCAAACTGAATGAAGTCAGATAAAGCAGGTGTGAAAGGCCTTTGAATGGAAAACGATTAAACGCAAAGAGGAAATGTTTAATTTTCTCAACAAGCTTCAGAAATTGGTCCCAGGCACTAAAACTCTGACTTTGGAGGATCCAATCAGTGTTTGAATAGCTCAGCAAATGAAGCTTTCTTCCCCCCGTATCACCAAATGAATTAACGTTCTCGTCCTTTATGTAAAAAACTACTGGCTACATAACGAAGATTAGAGCTTTAATTTCTGATAAGTCGGATCCAACAAGTGTTGCTTTGTCTCTGCTCCAAGTCACTAAGATGAACTTGACAGGTCAGATTTTCAATAGAAAGGCGGGAGGTCAATACCAAACCAGTCATGCATGAAACTCCCAAATAAATGGAAGTAATATTTATTATCTCTTTTGTATGAACGTCATAACATAAGTTGAATGTGGTGCCAATCGTTTTAGAGAAAAGAATACATAGGCACCATTTAGCACCCCTCCCATAGACATTTTCTTTCCTTAGCTCATGTGCGGGTGGCAGGTGGAGGCTCTGGTTGTCACAGAGATGAAACACGGGGAACCAACTTAAAGGGATGAAACATTTCCTCAGTGTAGGACTCGGCTGATGGAGAAAGATACTAATCTAATCAATAGTAGCATAGCTATTATTTAATTCATTGAAATAAAAGAAATGAAACAGCAGAGCTAACAGTCACTTCAATTCAATTCAAGTTTATTTATATAGCGCCAAATCAGGACAAGAGTCGTCTCAAGGTACTTCACATAATAAACATTCCGATTCAGGTCAGTTCATTAAGCTAATCAGAAATAATGTTTCCTATATAAGGAACCCAGCAAATTGCATCAAGTCACTGACTAGTGTCAGAGTCTTTACAGCAATATTCATACTAAGCAAGCATATAGCGACAGTGGAGAGGAAAACTCCCTTTTAACAGGAAGAAACCTCCAGAGGATCCTGGCTCAGTATAAGCAGCCATCCTCCACGACTCACTGGGGATCGAGAAGACAGAGCAGAAACACACACACACACACACACACACACACACACACACGCACACGCACACGCACACACGCACACACACACACACACACACACACACACACACACACACACACGTACACAAGTAATGTGTCTATAGTTATATTGTGATGTCTTAGTAAATATTCTATTTGGTGAGAGATAAACTTTATTGTATTTATCCTAGTGGATCTATAATTAAACGGATAAACTAGTTTTGGTCTTTTGGGTAAGTCGGAAAAGGTGATTATGTATTCTAAAATAAAATTTTATTGTTTAACTAATGAAATAATGAAATGTGGAAATTTTGTCCATTGAACATGAACATTTTTGAAGTTCTTTAGACCTCACTCAATAAAAGGTAGACTAGGCAGTGTTGGCTTGCTTTTAGCACCCCCTAGTGTCCGTTAGGTGAAACCAAAAGTGAAACGTATCTCCTCGCTGTGCATTTCTCTTTTTAACATCTTAATCTGACTGCTGAAATGTCTCCCCAGCCTTCATTAGAGTCTGCAGGAGTTATTCATCACTAAATCAAACACATCAGCTGCGTTCATGATCTAAAATATGCAGGAAACATGCTAAAACCAGACTCCAGTGCTGGTATGTCAGCTCCCCTTTTTCTAAGTCCAACAGGAGGCAGCCCACCACTCTGAAGTTGCAAGTGCAATAGTGACATTTCACTAACCATGTAAATGGTAGTTTTAGCACAAACTGGCCCAAGAAAGATATTTTAAAACATAAAATAGTTGCATAGTATGGCTTTAAATAGCAATACTGTAAATATTGGATATGTATAAATTAACAGTTGTTTAAAACTGACATTTAACCCTCTATGACTAGAATTGCGTACAGGCCTCCCACCTGATCATGTGACAATCATGTTTATAATTCTATGAGATTGTATTACAGAGGTCTTGGGGCTTAAAACACCATGGGGTTGGACTACCAGTGGTGCTACAAGTGGGGTTGGGGGTGCTACCAGTCACTGTCAAAGCTCGGTCCTCTCGGTTGGCCAGGGAACACATCCTTTTGGTGAATTTTTCAAACAAGAAGTAAGACTCTGGTAGGGGGCTGACTTTTGATGTGGGTACTGCAGTCCACGTATCAGAACAAATGAGTCCATTCCGATCAACTGTTGCCATTTACTGATCAGCGCCATAAGATTCTAGTCCTACACATATGAGTCGTACACAGTAAGTTGATCCGCAGATGAATACATTTCACTGTAGGGCTGGGCAATGAATCGAAAATGTCTTATCAAACTTTCTGACCCTGATCGATACCGTTTTTCCCATATCGATAATTTTGATAATACAAAAATGAAAATATTAGTGTAGGCTGGCGATGTTCTTGTCCCGCTAAGAAGCTGTACCACTTTGAATCCCCTGAAAAAGCGACTCGACATAATATACGTAACAGCCCCATCTAGTGGACAACTTTTGTACGTACAGGTAGCTATCATCCAATTATTGTTATCGAGGCAAATTCCTCAATATTCATGATATTGATTTTAGGCCGTTTGCCCAGCCCTGCTGTAATATAGAGTTGTTGGTAGTTTCAGATATTTTCTGAACTGTTCTTAATTCAACGTTAGCATTGTTAGCCCTGCGTTAGCCTGTGGCCTTCTTTACCCGATATTATAGTGAATCAAAAATGGATGCCGGGACTTCTAAGCCTACAAGAAATAAAATTTTTACTGCTCCTTTTACTGGCTTCACTCTTGCATTTCTTATTGTAGCCTGAGCACTCTAAAGAAGAAAATCTGTAGTTTTTATTTTTATTTTTTTACAGCAGGTAAACTGATGAGCTGTCAACAGAAACACCACCTGAGCTGACTTTATCCTGCTTTATTGTGCTTATTTTTAGCTTGGTGGTGTTAAGTAGGAAAATGTGTCTTTAAGGAAATTCTGTCACTTTGGTGAAGTCTGGAATAAACTTGATGCGGATCCCTGGGTGTGTTTGCGCTCAGCCTGCAGCTCGCTTCTCTCCTCCTCCCTGATGGGCGTCTCGGCTCTCTCCTGCCCGCCCCCCGTGGGTGTGCTCAAGGCCGCATCCACCTGCTGACTGGCGCCCTGCCTCTCCTCTCAGTCAGAAGCTCCAACTTTCCAGCGGAGCGCACGTCGGACCTCCTTTACGCGGGGACTTTAATCTTTTATCTCCTCTTCTTTCTCTTTTCCTTCCACGAGATGTTGACCCAGCTCGTGCGACATGCATTCTCCGCGCGCTGTCGCGCAGTGATGAATTAGAGGCACGCATACTTTTAAATTGCTCTCATAACTCCGGGTCCGAAGCGCACGCTCTGTATGTGGCGCGCAGGTACGGACCCCCTGCCGCACCCCGCCCCTCCGAGGAAAACACGGACTGTGGATTTTCTCTTTTTATTGATTTCAGCTTAAAGAGAAAGGAGGATCGATCAGTTGGAATTGGGTTTATCAGCAGCTGGGAGGTTGGATCAGAACTTGTTCTCGGAAAGCTGAAGGTAAGGATCACTCCGGGTTTTATTTGGATCATCATCTTGAAACATTTCTTGATTGCTGCTTGTCTTCATTCCAAACACCTCGAGTGCTTCTTTTTCTGTATATTCAGATTTATCTCCCGTTGCATAATTCCTTCGTGATTAATTATGAGTATTTACTGAATATCTGCAGTTTACTGAGCGCTCCAGTGCCACAGCAGACTGTTAGTTCTGTCTTCCATGTGTCCACGCTGACAGCCTGGCTCCAGCAACTCTCAGAAACAACAATCTGCACGCGTTTTCTCTTTGTGTTCACTTTTATTTGATATTATGACTTAAATAAGTCTATTTAATGTGAATAATAAATAATAACAGTCTCACTATAAAGAAATAAAGGGGGCGTTTATCAATTGAGCAACTTTTAATGAATTTTCTTATTAATATCCCTAAAATTTCAAACCTAACACACGAAGAAGTTCAGACCAATTGTATTATTTTCGCTACATTAAAAACGCCTCAGACATATTCAGCTTCTTATTAATAATGAAGGTTTCGCAATCTCCAGCGCGCGCAGAGCCTTGCTTGAGTTTTGTGTGCGTGTGCGCAGGACTTGGCCTCTGTCTTAGAATAAACAGCTGGATGGTTAACAAATAGTCTGTAAACAGTAGAGGTTTAAACAGCTGCAGCATGCTCATAAATCGGGCTCAGAGGCTCCAATAAAGGTGCGTTTGAAGTGGGAGGCTGAGTCCAGTTGAGGTGGGAATTAAAGACTTGAGTGAAAAAAGGTTAAATCAATGAAAGACTGAATTTGTCTTGATGATTATTCATGGATCTGGTTTCTTTTTATTCAGATAGGCTCATTTAAAACTAAGCTATGGGGTGTCTATTTGTAAAGTACATGAAAACAAACCCTTGTATTTGTACCACATTTGATCCAGAATAATTGTGTTACATCTAATTATGAAGAATCCAGTGAAAATGTATTGTAAAATATTAAAAAAGAAACGTAAATAGACTCAAGCTTCATCTGACTTTTCATGAACTCTCAATGGATGAAGTGAGATCCCAACATTTAAAATCAAATCTAAACGTTTAAAAGCTAAATCTAAATAGTCACAACCATATAAATGAATCTAAATACAAATATTAGGTTTCTCATTCCAAATAAACAAACAGGGCAGTTTTATAGCCTATTAAATAATTATCGTCTCATGCATGCCGGGGTGTGAGCAAAATCTAACTGGAGTGATGAGATCCCCAACATAACGTCTCAAGAGTCTGATTGTGTGTTTCAGTATAAAAAGACAAACCTATAGGATAATTCACTCATAGTGAACAGACCCATGCAATTTCAGCATCAAGGGGGTCTGGAGATGTTATGTAAAGGGTCTCATAACCCTGCATTCTTTTTCTGAAGGCTCATGTTATATATGTGTGTGTGTGTGTGTGTGTGTGTGTGTGTGTGTGTGTGTGTGTGTGTGTGTGTGTGTGTGTGTGTGTGTGTGTGTGTTAAAATATTTTATTTGGATAAATGTTGAAATGCTCACGAAAAAGTTGCAATTTCCTAAAAAAACACGTGTTGAAGAGACAAATTATTCACACTTTTTATTTTTTGCTGCAGTCAAATGTGACAAAAAGAAGCTGTTAAAATGCGAAATTCAGCTGTTTTGTCTCCATATTCAGCTCCTGGTAAATTGATGAATGCTGGTTCATTTCAACTGTTACATTTTTCCAATAGTTTACTCATCTTTTACTATTCTGAACTTCATCAGTCAACCTGTATGGTCCTAGTGAGGGCTGTAACCTGGCATTAGGTGAACCTGCAATTACAGCAGCAGCAGCAGCAGCACGCGTGTGGCGTCATGAAGCAGGAATGTGTTGTGGATGCATGAAGAAGAGGAGCAAGGAGAGAAATAAAAGCCTCTCCCAGGAGAGCCAGTGCAGTTCTTTCACCACTTTGTAGCACTATGAAAAAAAACATAATTTTTACCAAATGGAAGTGAGTACACATCACTCAGAGCTTGGCTCCACTTTGTCAAGGCTCATCAGTTTTTACGATGCTTCCAGAGCTATGTGCTGCGTCCAACCAAACAGTCCCCGGGCCCCTGGGAGTTACTGATTTGACAAGTCACATAAATCGATAAACAAAAGCAGACTTAGTGTGAGAGGTTTTAATTTATACTTTATTTTTCTTGGAAGAGAAAAGACAACGCTGTTCCTTCTCTCATCTTTCTTTCTGGTCCTGCAGATTTAAAAAGAGAAATCGGGAGTTTGTTTGGCGATTGGTCCAACATGAAGCTGGACGGTGTGCGGACGAGCCTCGTCCTTCTTGCTCTGTCCACGCTGGTTTGTGGGAATCAAATGAGCAACGATGCGCTTGCTGCTCCCAGAGTCTTCGTCTCCTTTAAAGGTAAGAAGCAAAACCGCCTCGTTTGTCTTTCTGTCAGATTTTCCCTGCTGCTTTGGTTTGACGCTGGTTTCTCAGACAGACGTGATGATTTTGCAGCGGGCTGTAATGAAGCACCACTGTAATTCTTAACAGAACACAAATAAATCATCAGTTTTTTTGTTTTCCTTGCCCACCCTCACCCCCTGCTCAGACCTGCGGGCCCTTTAATAACCACCAGATGCTTCCACTGCTGTAGACTGCATCAACCATTCAAAAGTGACTGAGCAAATACAATCAGGACTCCTAATTGGTGAATTTGATTAGATGCGTAGGAACTTTGAATCTGCTGCACATCGAGAGGCTGGGTTGTAAGGAGCTCACAATAACTCGATGATCATTACGTGATTGGTCCCTGGTGAGGCAGATGTGTGTGTGGGGGGGGGGGGAGGATTGAGATTAGGTGAGGCTGGTTGCTGCAGTTCTACTGGATGCAGAGGGAGAAACGGTATTATCAAGAGCAAATTGCGAGGATCAGTGGAGCAGAGCGGCTTCCCCGGGGCCGGGCCTGCTCGCAGATCAAGCCTTTGATTAGCATCCAGAGAAAAGGGAAGGGAGCGAACTTCAGCCCTGTTTGCTTTGCTTTTCCCAGGCGCTCCCTGGTTGTACAAGTTGACATAATTAAGTGGACTGGCATGGTTCGTTGTTAAAAGGCGTTTTCCTGCTTTAATCAAGTAGGATTTAACACATCAGTAAGCTCACAACCAGAGATCAGCAGATTGTTTACATTTTTCACATTTCGTCCTCGTTGATTTCCCTTTAGCATCAAATAAAAGCCTAAAAACAAATGCACCGATTGATGTTTTAACTCAATTGGAATGAATAATAAAAGGAGTGCACAGTTGCGGACCCCTTTGGCTGTAGAGGACAAAAAGCTGCTACTTACCTGCATGTGTTTGCCTCTCCAGTCAATATGAATTTCACAGTCTGCTGCTGCTGCCTCTCTCAGAGGATTGCTACCCGCTCCATTCAATATACGACTTCCTCTGCTTTAATTGCTTTTGGAGAGGCCCGTGTAGTCCTTACATTGGCTTCTGCACTTCCCCTGATGCACCCACAACGTGTGAAGTTATGCTTATTTTCCTTTCTTTGCTCGAGCTCTTTGAGAAGACGGTTTGGCCCTAAGCGGCAGCTTTAATGCAGCACAGCGTGAAGACAACAAGTGTGCTTTGTATTGTGAGACTGCAGGAAGTAAGCAGGTTAGCCGATAAGGTTGCAGTTTGCAGGAACCAGTCGATGTTCTGTTTGCTCACATAAAAAACTACGGTTGTTGGCGTAAAGCGTAGCTTTTTTCTCTGACAGTTTTTTTTATAAAAGTTCCAAACTCATTAGCTCGATAGCTGAGTGAGGTCATGAACCTTGACCTCCGTCTGGGAGGCCCTCACTTCCCTCTAATAAAGCAGGTAAAGTAAATCACGAACGCTGACGGCGTTGCTTTCGGGTCAGATTGTCTGCAGACGTTTTATGACAGGAAAACCCAGAAACCCCTAAAACACTCGCTAGAAAGAGCAAGTTGAAGGAAAACATGTCTGTTTATGATGATTAGAATCAGATTAGTGTTTGTAAAGTGTGACGGATGGAGCTGGGACGTAGACTTTGTTCAGCCTTATCACGTTTTCTGTCTCAGAAACCCGCGGAGGGAAAGCAGAGGTAAGAAGGTAAAACAAGTCGTTTCAGAACAAGGAGCTTAAATCAGAGTCAGGTGAGCAAACGTGGTTTGAAATGAAAACAAAAGAGATTAAAGTAAATCTGCTTTAAATAAAGATTAAACCCAGAGAGAGTCTAGCATCAGACATCTGGAGCTGCTGAGGACAAGGTCCATTTTCTCACCAACGGAGACATTTGTTTACGACACGACACGTCTCTTTTTAAGCCTTCCAATGCAATCACTCTCACGCGCCCCACTTTTACACCAAAAGCAAAGTGATTTAATCAATTTTATTTCTATAAATCAAGAAGCAGGTTTCCCCTAGTTCCATACGTTTGTGCTGGATCTGAGTGCTGCAACCAGAACTGGACCAGGACCTCCCCGAGAGCAATGATGGAAGTTCTGATGTAAAAGCCATGTTCCATAGATGAGTTAGACCACTTCTGGTCTGGTTTATTTAAGCTAACTGATGGATCTCTTCTATGCGTCTCATAGACAGATAATATCAGTCAGTCATATCTTGTTTGACCAGAGTGGTGAAGGTGTATCTTTAAAAGTGAGCAATGCAAATGTTTTGTCCCTAACCCCCAAATTCCACTACCTCCTCTCCGCTCCGCTCCGGTCCGCCCCCGCCTTCCGCAGCCGCTCGCTTCCAAACTCAATTTTTACTGGTACCCGCTCTACGGCTCCGCTCCGGTGCGGAGACCTGAGGTGGGCAAACAAGCATGCGCGGGATTTTCGAGATCTTGCGATACAGTCCGAGCAATAAACGCTGAAGTTAGATCCAAACACCCGTTGTGTGGGAGAAGCATCGAAATGAACTGTTTAATCTGTCCATCATTTGTGTTGAGAGATCAGCAGCGTTTGGATCAACAAAGTGTGACTAATTTAATAGTGTAAACTGTATTTATGGCTTATTTTTGTGCATTTAAACTTCAGCCACCATTGATGGTTGTTAAAAGTTGTTAAACCTGTGCATATGAAACAAAAAACGCCTTTTGTTTATCGATTTATTGTGAAAAACGGAAGCTGTGCTTGCTCCTTTTCCTGTTGGGTGGTTGTGATTTCTGTCCATTTACTGCGGAGGTGCTCCGGTGTCTGGCGAAAGTGGGATCGATTCTATTTTTGCCGGACGCCAGAACAGAGGGCGGCGCACTGCGCCGCACTGCCGGAGCACGGCCGCAGTAGTGGAATTGCTCTGATTGACTACAACGGGACCGATTTTGCTCCGGCGTTCGTGTCGGAGCGGAGCGGAGGTAGTGGAATTTGGGGGTAAAGCCAGTACTTTCCTTATTTTGCTTTTTCTTTCCTTTCTTCTTTTTAGTAAGTACATTTTATTTCTACAGCACTTATCACAGACATAGATGCGCTTCGCAGAGATCAAAACAAAATAAAACAAAGTCATAAAATCATAATGATCTCAAAACAGAAATAGATTAACATCAGAAAAGATAAAGTAATAAAATTATAAAATTTCATAAACAGATGAAAGATTAAAAACTTGAGTTTTAAACAGGAGCTGTTAATAGATTTGTTAAATGCTGCTGTTGCCGTTAGGGACACATGACCAGGATCCACAAACATGGCATTAGGCGTGTTTCCACTGTCGGAGCTTTGGGGTAATTTTACCGAACCTTCGCGGCACGCACGTATCTCAACTTCACCAGTTCACCAGCATTAACCCTCCCACTGTCCTAATGGGTGACTGTGCCAGGAAAGTTGTCCATTGAGCAGGATTGATGGTTTATCCCTTGAGGTCCACGTGGCAGGGGTGAGGTGGTGCTCACTCCTCAATCACACATGTTTGATTTTGGCCCTCTTTTATGTTGAATTTATTTCACAGTTTTCATTGGTTCACTCAATCCAAATATGTTTCACACATTTGTCCTGTACCAGAATGTTTCATCTATTTGTAATTTGTATTTTGTAATTTGAATTGCTTTTATTGTTGATTTACTCAATATATTTACCTACAACTGTACCATGTTCAGCGCTTTGGGCTTCCTGACAGGGTTGCAGAAGGCGCTTTATAAATAAAGCTTTGATTGATTGATTGAAGAAAGAGAGAGTGAATAGGAAAGAGGGAAATCAGTGGATCCTGAGGAAGGTGGAATAGGTGGGGAGAGCAGAATAAAGAGAGAGTGGTGAAGAAGGTCATACAAAAACCAGCTTGAACAAGTGAGTCTTCAGCTGCTTTTTAAAGGAGACCACTGAGTCCACTGATCTCAGGCTCAGGGGGAGATAGTTCCAGAGTCTGGGGACCACAGCAGCAAATGATCTGTCACCTTTGACCTTTAGCCTGGTGCTGCACAACCAGTAGGCTTTCATCACTGGACCTCAGGGACCTGCTGGGGGTGTAGGGACTGAGATCACCAATGTAAGATGGTGCTTGTCCATGTAAGACCCTATAGACCAGAACCAGGATCTTGAAATGAACCCTGAAGTTGACTGGCAGCCAGTGAAGCTGGAGGAGAAGCGGGGTGATGTGGGTGTGTTTGGAGGACTTGGTCAGAAGCCGAGCACAGGCATTCTGAACCACCTGTAGACGGTTCAGGGAGGTTCTGCTCAGACACGTGAAAAGAGAGTTACAGTAGTCTAAGTGTGAGGAGATGAAGGTGAGAGGACCAAGCCATTATATCTTCTGGTCACTCTTCTCCCTCCCAGAAATTTCCAGAACTCCTCTAGTGGAAACAGCTATTATTAAAGTGCTGACAATATTAATAAATGATGTTTCAAGCAAATCCATATGAAAACTGACTATGAAAGTGTAATAAAATAAGCTCACGGTGTTCTACTGCTATTTTGACTTCCTAATCTAAATAGTAGAGTTTTCTATCAAAGTAAGCAGAGGAAAAGTGAAACAAATTCAGAGTTTTTAAACATAGAGATCATAACATTTTCAATAATGAGCTTGCATCTAGCTTCTGAGGACAGCTCATGGAGCTGGCGTTGTAATATGCCCTGTTGATGTAAAACCGGAGTGGGTCTGCAGTGAGTGTGTAACACATGGAAAATGGCCTTGATCCAAAACTTGAGACTGGATCAGATCATCCCTGTGAAATAAGTTATTTGTATTTAATAAAATGCCTTCAGTGAGACCGTTTTAATGCAAACACTAAATTCAAAACAAAAATAAAAACATCTCTCACATCAAAATGTCAGATCATATATCATCTGTTTGCTACGTTTTCCTCCTGCGCGTTTCTTTATGTTGTCTTAGTTCATCAGTTCCACTTGAGTTAGGAATCAGTGTGACATAGGCTCATCTCCTATTATTCACCACATCAGTTCATTAATCACACTAATGTACACGTTG